CTTCCACCAATTCTCTGGTCTGAAGTCTCCCTTTGAGCTGTCTGGCTGGTTCTGTTACCTTTGTCCTTTAAGCAGCTCATGCAGAACTCCCTACCCTAACCTCCTCCGCCCCAAAATCAGTTTTGCCTGGGGCCCCTGCAGCCACACTTGTCTCTTGACATCTAAAAAGTCTCCAGACCCTCACGATCACACCTCAAAGGAACAAAATAAATTCTCACCCCAAACCCAAGTACTCCCGGGTGAAGCACAGAGCTGAAGACAGGGCACTCAGCGAGGAAACGCCAGGGTAGTAGGTGCCAAGCGGTGTGGGTGCAGGTCCCGTCCTAGGGGCTCTGGCCGGCGCAGGAACAAATTACAGAGCCAGGAGGTGTTTCCGGGGATGAGAAGAACGCCAGGTTGTGTTCATGGCCAGAATGCTAGCGACTCCCACTTGCGCTTGATCAAAAATTCCCCCAAAGCCGGAGTCACTCCTCCGAGGCAGGTAGGCGGCTTAAGCGAGTCCCTCGCACCGAAAGAGCCAAATTTCCAGATCAGTTCTAAGGCGCGGGCGCCGTCTGCCTTGGGTTCCCGAGTCCCCGCGAACAACTTTGTCTTGGCGCTCAGCAGCCAGGAGGGACAGCGCCGAGAGGGCACCCGAGCACTATTTATAGGAGCCCACGTGTAGACACAGCTTTGGCTCTCTCGTTCGCTCAGCCGGTGGATCCCCAGAAAGCAGAAACGGAGTCCGGCGACCCCAGCCGAGCAGCGCCTGTGTGACGGTGCGTTGAACGCACCCGGACTGAGCGGGGCGCACCGCACTGCCTGCTGCAAGGTCTGCGGCCACTTGGCGCCCTGAAATCGCGTGAGGTGTGCACAGAGGAGGGTGCCTACCGGCCCGCGCCTCTGCTCCCCACCTGCTCCACCTGCACCGTAGAGGGGGTTGCGGGGCCCCTCGCCCTGTCCAGCGAGGAACTCTCCGAGCCGAACACGGCGGCGCTGCCAGCACAGATACAGCGCTTTCTGCAAGGGCCGCGGCGGTTCTGCGGGGCTGCCTGCCTGGACTCTAAAGGGGATTCACCAGCGTCCCCAACTGTGCCTGGTCCGGAGCTCGTCCGAGGTAGCCTGGAGCCTGAGCTCAGGAAAGCTTTGGGGCAGCCCTTTTCCCCCGGGAGAGGGGGAGTGCGGAGCACGCGCCTGATCCCTTCCTTCCGCTTGGGAGGTTGAGCCTCGCCTCGGAAGCCACAGGGGCGCGTCTTCCTACTCACGCTGCATCCACCCCAACTGAGGCCAGGAAAAGTCTTAGTGAACGGCCCCCTTAAATGTAACAATTAAAATACAGCACCCTTCCCTCTTTGATGTGCCTGCCCCTGTGCATTCCACTGCCATCTTGGCCTCTTACTGGCAACTTATTTTCCTCTTCCGCAGCCACCAAAGGGAATCAGGGAAGTCCGGCTTGGCTCTGGGGTTGGCTGCTGGAACCTGGCCAAGTCACACATCTTGATGACACAGGCCCCTAACTAAGGGCCCTGGTTTTCTGGTTCTTTCACCTTTGGGGTCAGACACTCCCAAATTCCTTCTGGACTTCCAGCTGCAGGAGAACAGTGGCACCTACCTCTCTGATCAAAACATAACCCTAACAGAAGGCCTCAGCCACTTAGACCTCCTGATTGTTATATCTTGATTGCTTGTTGTTCAGAGGTTGAGCCACGTCCTTGGGACAAACCAAGCTCTCCAGATGGTCATGGGCACTCTTGGGATGGCGCTCAAGCTCCTCCCCAGAAGAATCCAGACCTACATCTTTAATCTGGTCCCCTGCTAAGGTTCTTCAAGGAAACGTGTGCCATAAGCCCACGCTGAAATTCCAAGTGTTGAGATGCAAGATGACCCTATGATTGATCCTTAGCTCTGACTCCCTATAACGATACAAATAAGGATGTGCTGTCTGGAACCATAGTTTAAGGAGGCAGGCAGTGCCACCACTGAGTGGCAGGTGCTCTAGGGCAATGCTATTTGTAATAATGCCAGATGTCCTTCATCTAAGCTGCAAAGAAACAGGGGAGCTAGGCAGGCCTTTAAGGGAGGGCCACCCTGATCTCCACCTTACACTCCCCACCTCACCAGTCTGCCTGAACAGCAGCTGCAGTGCCTGGGTCTGTGTGTGTGTGTGTACACAGGCACGTGTATGTGTGTGTGTGTGTGTGTGTGAGCATTGTGTATGTGTGTGAGTGTTGTGTGAGTATGCGTGTGTGAACATGTGTGTATGTGTGTGTGTATGTGTGTAAGCATGTGTGTGCATGTGTGTATGTGTGGTGTGTATGTGTATCTGTGTGGGAGTTTGTGTGAGTGTGTCTGTGTGTGTATGTGTGTGAGCATGTGTGTGCATGTGTGCATGCATGGTATGTATGTATGAGTGTGTGTGTGTGTATGTGTGAGTGTGTGTGTGCATGTGTGAGTGCGTGCGTGCGTGCGTGCGTGTGTGTGTGTGTGTGTGTGTGTGTGTATGTGTGTGAGCATGTGTGTGCATGTGTGCATGCATGGTATGTATGTATGAGTGTGTGTGTGTGTGTGTGTGTGTGAGAGTGTGTGTGTAGAGCCAGAGAATGTCCTGCTCCCTCACTCTCCACCTTAATCCCCAACCTTGAGGACACAGGGTCTCTGACTGAACTCGGAGCTTGTTGTCAGTCAGCAAGCCCCATCGACCCTCCTGCCTCCCCACCCCCAGCACTGGTGTCACAAACATGTGTAACCACACTTGGCTTTTCATGGAGATTCTGGGAGTCTGGCAGCTTCTCACTCTTGAGCTCTTACTGGCTGCACCATGTCCCCAGTCCCAGAGCGACTTTGTGAGACCAGATACTAGATGAAATTTGGTTCCACTGTTTCTTCACCCAAGCTGGAGATTCAGCAGCTTAACCTTGATTTCTTTTGTTGTGGTGGTTTGTTTGGGTTTTGTTGTTGTTTTTGTTTTTTGTTGTTTGTTTGTTTTTTTCCAGTTCCGGGCTGGGAAACATTTGAGAAAGAACCCTATTGACAGACTTGGTAAATATGCAGTATTTATCTTCCCCACAAGCCCCAACACATATTCTCTGTGTGTTCTTTCTTTTCTTCTCATATTTAAATCAATTTCTTCCTCCGGTCACTGACAGTGTTCTTGTAGGCCCCAAATCCAGCTGGGTCAGCTGTTACAGCATGTAGGTGTGTGGAAACAACTGAGTTTGCTGGAGTGGAGTGGTGGGGTTCCACACAGGAAGAGGACTGAGCCAAGCCTGGTGGCTAAGGAGTGCTGTGAGTAAAAGCTTCCACTCTCCTGCACCGGTCCAGAGCCAGGGTTATGAGTTAGCCCACGCCAACATCCACCCCTCCTGTGATCTGCTGGAGCACATGGAGGGACCATGTAGATCCAAAGCTGCAGGATCTTCACAACACAGGGCAACAGCAGGATAACCAAGAAGAGTTCCGGTGAGAGCCAGTATCAATAGTGTAGCAAAAGCCAGAGGCCTCGAACCAAACCAATGACTTTGCAATGAACACTTGGAAATAAAGATACATGGACAAAAGGTATTACTGCGTGACTCAGTTTCTACAATGAGACTGCTTTTTCCTTCTTTGTTTTATTCTTCTCTTTTTCTCTTAAATTTTATTTTATTTTGGGGGAGGTTGCAAGGGCAGAGGGTAGATGCAAAGGAACCAGGAAATGAATGGGATGGAAACACATGATGTAAAAGACACAAAGAATAAATAAAAAGAAAGTTTAAACACACACTCAGAAAACGATACTTAAAGCCATGTGGTAATTAACATAACTGCATTTAGATGCCATTCATGACTGGTAATCCCAACACCTTGTGGGGGGGAAAAGTTGCATGCTATAAACATTATAAGCATATTCAAATAAACTTTAAAAAATTGGCTTTCCAGTTCCAGCTTCCTGTAGGAGTGGTGCAGTAGCCCTCCGACCTGGGGCTTCCTGAGGCCTTCCTATACCCTGCTTCTTGTCACAAACATCCTTGCTGAAACTGTGGTTATTAAATCAGATCACAAAAAGCTGGGGGAAGCTACAAGAAAGAACTGTCAACTGGAAATGGTCAGATGTGCAAAACTTGGCTCCGGGCAAGAGACGCTGGCAATGCCCACCCCCTGCCTAGGGAAAGTTTGCTGATTGAGTCCCCCCAGCCCAGCTCCAGCTCTGTTTCACCTCTGGCTGCTTCAGGAGACGAGAATTAAAATCAGGTCCAAGTTTCTTTCTAGCGGTTTCCCTCCCTCCCTCCCTTTTCAGTTAAAAATATGGTATCAGAGATGGGTGGATAGACTGTAAGAGCCAGAGGCCATGACTGACTACAAGGCAGTGGTGTTCTCCAGGTACAACAGGGCAGCTAGCTACACAAACAAACTCACAGCCACTGTAACTGCACGCACAAGACCTGCACAAGCTCCAGCCAGACAAAATCTTATCGAGAAGCACTGAGGTGAGCATGAAGACCACCCCAGTGGTCCCTTGGCATTTGATAGCTGCTCAGGGGGGCAGAGTCAGTTTCCTCTGAGGGTGTAACCCACAATAGATCGGCCATGCTCCAGAACAGCTCCCACACCCAAGAATATTTAAGGAACACAAATTAGATGAGTTTTTAAAAAATATAATTAAAAATAGAATATATAGAGTTCTGTTTTTTATTCTAGTTTATTTTATTCTGTTATATCTGTGGGCACATAGAGAGGTGGGGTTGGATCTGGGAGAAGCTGGGGGTGAATGTTATCAAAACACCTTGTATGGAATTCTCAAAATACAATAAAATATTTTA